TATATGCTTTCCATGTCATTCTACTTTGATCCTTTCTCTCTAAATGACCAAACCACCTCAACAACCCCTGTTCTGCCCTCTGACTAATACTTTTATTAACTTCACACCTTTTCCTAATTTCCACACTCCGAATTTTGTGCATAATATTTACACCACACATTGCCCTTACACAGGACATCTCCACTGCCTCCAACCGTCTCCTCGCTGCTGCATTTACCACCCAAGCTTCACACCCATATAAGAGTGTTGGTACTACTATACTTTCATACATTCCCTTCTTTGCCTCCATAGATAACGTTTTTTGACTCCACATATACCTCAACGCACCACTCACCTTTTTTAACTCATCAATTCTATGATTACCCTCGTCCTTCATAAATCCATCCGCCGACACGTTAACTCCCAAGTATCTGAAAACATTCACTTCTTCAATACTCCTCCTCCCCAATTTGATATCCAATTTTTCTTTATCTAAATCATTTGATACCCTCATTACCTTACTCTTTTATATATATATATATATATATATATATATATATATATATATATATATATATATATATATATAATATATATATATATATATATATATATATATATATATATATGTGCAAGGGGCTTGGACTTCCAGCAAGCGTGCGTGAGCGTGTTCGATAGAAGTGAATGGAGACGAATGGTACTTGGGACCTGACGATCTGTTGGAGTGTGAGCAGGGTAATATTTAGTTTAGGGATTCAAGGAAACCGGTTATTTTCATAAAGTCGGACTTGAGTCCTGGAAATGGGAAGTACAATGCCTGCACTTTAAAGGAGGAGTTTGGGATATTGGCAGTTTGGAGGGATATGTTGTGTATCTATATACATATATGCTTCTAAACTGTTGTATTCTGAGCACCTCTGCAAAAACAGTGATTATGTGTGAGTGTGGTGAAAGTGTTGAATGATGATGAAAGCATTTTCTGTTTGGGGATTTTCTTTCTTTTTTGGGTCACCCTGCCTCGGTGGGAGACGGCCGACTTGTTGGAAAAAAAAAAAATAATAATAATAATAATAATACTAATAATATATATATATATATATATATATATATATATATATATTATATATATATATATATATATATATATATATATATATATGTATTTATATGTATGTATATATATATATATATATATATATATATATATATATATATATATATATATATATATATATATATATATATATATATATAATATATATATATGTATTTATATGTATGTATATATATAAATATAATATATATATATATATATATATATATATATATATATATATTAATATATATAATATATATATATGTATTTATATGTATGTATATATATATATATATATATATATATATATATATATATATATATATAATATATATATATATATATATATATATATATATATATATATATACAGTGGACCCCCGCATACCACACGCATCGCATACCGTACAATCCGCATACCGCTCGCTTTTTTCGCAAAAATTTTGCCTCGCATACCGCCCAAAAACCCGCTCACCACCCTTCGTCCGAGACGCGTCCAATGTGTGGCCTGAGCCACGCTCACATGTTCCGCCGGTGGCATTGTTTACCAGCCAGCCTCCGCGGTAACATCCAAGCATACAATCGGAACATTTCGTATTATTACAGTGTTTTTGGTGATTTTTTTCTGGAAAATAAGTGACCATGGGCCCCAAGAAAGCTTCTAGTGCCAACCCTACAGCAATAAGGGTGAGAATTACTATAGAGTGAAGAAAAAGATCATTGATAAGTATGAAAGTGGAGTGCGTGTCTCCGAGCTGGCCAGGTTGTATAATAAACCCCAATCAACCATCGCTACTATTGGTGGTACAGCTGCTGATGCACTGTCAGCTGCTGCTGCACTGTCAGCTGCTGCTGCACTGTCAGCTGCTGCTGCACTGTCAGCTGCTGCTGCTGTTGTACCACCATCAGCTGCTGCTGCTGCTGTAGCATCGTCTGCTGCTGCTGTAGCATCGTCTGCTGCTGCTGTAGCATCGTCTGCTGCTGCTGTAGCATCGTCTGTTGCTGCTGTAGCATTGTCTGCTGCTGCTGTAGCATCGTCTGTTGCTGCTGTAGCATCGTCTGTTGCTGCTGTACCACCATCAGCTGCTGCTGCTGCTGTAGCACCGTTGTTGGTGTGGCTTATTGAGAATACCAAGAAACAATTAACCCCAGAGGATTTGCCACTCAGGATAACCCAAAAAAGTCAGTGTCATCGAAGACTGTCTAACTTATTTCCATTGGGGTCCTTAATCTTGTCTCCCAGGATGCAACCCACACCAGTCGACTAACACCCAGGTGAACAGGGAAAAATGCCTGGAACTAGTGCTCATATTGGTGAATTTAAAGCCAGCAAAGGTTGGTTTGAGAGATTTAAGAATTGTAGTGGCATACACAGTGTGATAAGGCCTGTTCTGGAAGAAAATGCCAAACAGGACCTACAGTACTCAGGAGGAAAAGGCACTCCCAGGACACAGTGTCTCATCAGTCATTGCTGCATCTTCAATAAAGGTAAGTGTCATTTATTCTTCATTTAGCAGAGTAGTACATGCACAATATATACTGTGCATGTACTACTCTACTATTGTGCATGTATCCTTCTCTTTGTGTGTAGGAAAATGTATATTTCATGTGGTAAATTTTTTTTTTTTTTCATACTTTTGGGTGTCTTGCACGGATTAATTTGATTTCCATTATTTCTTATGGGGAAAATTCATTCGCATACTGAACATTTCGCATAACAATCAGCCCTCTTGCATGGATTAAGGTCGCTATGTGGGGGTCCACTGTATATATATATAATATATATATATATATATATATATATATATATATATATATATATATATATATATATACAGTGGACCCCCGGTTAACGAACTTTTTTCATTCCAGTAGTATGTTCAGGTGCCAGTACTGACCGAATTTTTTTCCCATAAGGAATATTGTGAAGTAGATTAGTCCATTTCAGACCCCCAAACATACACATACAAACGCACTTACATAAATACACTTACATAATTGGTCGCATTTGGAGGTGATCGTTAAGCGGGGTCCACTGTATATATATATATATATATATATATATATATATATATATATATATATATATATATATATATATATATATATATATATATATATATATATATATATATATATAACACACACACACACCCAGATTTTTTTTACCAGGCCAGCCATTTCCCATGAAGGTATAGTGAACCAAAAAGAAAGGTAACATATTCACCATCATTCATTCAGTAGCTTTCTTGGCAGAAGTGTGCAGACTTTACAATCAAATGACCCTGTGAACTGCAAAATCTACACCCTTCCTTTACAGTGAAGGCACTGTATGTCTCAAAGCAGTTTCCCTGAATGTGTGTTAATCAAGAGATGGTTGAAGGATGTCCTAAAGTGAAAGGGATGACCATTTTGTGGTTGTGATTTTAGAAGTGGGCCAGCATACCTTAATAACGAACACTGTACAACCTGTTTCATGCATTCACAACATCTGCTGACTTGCTATCCTATTCATCCAGTCACAGCTTTACCTAAATGCATTAATGCAACAAATAGTTCCCTAGCTGTATTTAAGTAGTGTTCACTTATATGCTTTAATGTTAACATCTGATCTAACCATCCCTTGCTCTTCCTGAATCCTATTGTTCCTTTGTAATCCTAATATATATCTTACCTCTAATATTTTCAAAACACAATTCTACCATACACTTTACCAGGTATTTCCAACGGTTTATTCCCTATAATTTTTCCACTCTCTCTTCCTCTTTTACCTTATAGGTATGTAAATATTGGCATGCTCTTCCAATATTTACACACCTTCCCTTCTTCTATGCATATCTTTAATCCATATATTGAACACATGCAGCCACCACTCCAAAACTACATATATCCCCACTTACTTTTAACATCTTAATTCTTTATCTCATCTGTTCCAGCAGTTTTACTTACTACCATTCTACCCACTGCCTCACTTACTTTTCCCTACATTCACCTCTGGCTTTTCCTTACTCCTACAAGATGTTATTCCTCCCTGCCCAATGCATGTATTCCTCATGTGATAACAAAAGTTAACAGAAGTTAAGTACTGTATGAGTGAGCAGCAGTCAGATGCCAGATGGAGAAAAAATGTTGTAGATATTAACAATAACTGCATTAAAATGTACTAATAGGGAGTTTTTCAAGTGAACTGGAAATGAAACATCAATATCCCTCCCAAAATCTTGAAAGAATAAAATTTCAGCTTGAAAAATCAATTGTAAATAAAAAAATCCATATTTCTTAAAAATGTGAAAGACAGTCAACTTGCTCAATCTAAAACTTCAAGACATCTTATCAGTGGTACCATGCATGCCTCAAGTCTCCATCATCCGATGTACAGGTAATTGTCTTACACCAATTATCAAAAGAGAATGTCTTTGCTTGAAACTCCCACCTAGATCCTAAAACAACAACTTGAGCTTATCTGATGATGACCTCTCCATCATGCAACTAAACACAAAACAAAATAATGTTCAAAGAGGGTAATAAAAGCCATACACCAGCCAATATCATAGTGATATGACTGACCATTGTTTTGGTACTGTGAAGATGAAACCATAAACGACACAGAAAATGTAAAAATCCATCTTTGGTTCTCTGATAAGCACAAGAGCAATACAAGTAAAACATCATCTATATTAAGCTCTAGTGGTGATTTCCATTTATCAGTGAAAAGATTAAGATTTTATATGTAATTATTAAGCAGCAATACCAGATGCAGTGAAACATGCAGTCACTTTTATGGATAGGATCCAAATGGAGCTGATGAATAGATATGTAATGGAGCAACTTGTAGACAAAGCTATACATCTGAAGTCCAGAGTAGAAAGCAAAGCTCCATACAAGAGGAACAAAGGTATGAAAGAAAGCTATGACTGCAACCAACCTTGTACCACTTAAAGATGAATGTGCACTATTTGGCCAATTTCTTGAGGTGATACCATCACGTGCTGAGATTGATCTGAAAGGGAGTATCAGTGAATCCCAGTCTGTTGTGAATGGTAACCTGCAGTGTTGCTTGACAAAAATGTTATACAGGAGCAAGATTGTTTTATGCAACCACTGCTGAAGGTGAAGCTGAAGAGGAGGCAGTGTACAAGTTTATGGGAATATAAACTGGTTATGAGGTTGCAAATCTTTCTGTTGCTATTGTTAACAACAAATTGTCTATGTCTTTCTTGACATTACATTTCAAATATAGTATGGTACATACATACAAGAGCACAATATAGCAGTTATGAAAGAATGGTTAAAGAGGCACTATATAAAAAAATTGCTCTTGTTCAGGTTGTGAATGTCATATTTCAAAGCTTTCTTAGATGCAAAGTACCATTCAACTGGGATTTGTGCATTCTCAGTCCCATACAAAATGAGTACACTAAAAATAAGATTGATGAAAGCCAAAATAAAAAGCTGAACTGGATAATTTTAAGGGTAATAACTAGGGTTTAGCAATTAGTTTAACACCTACTCATGCTTGTTGATGTTTACAGGATTCAAAAACTTTTAGTATAATTGTGTAATAATATTCTACTACATTAATGCCCACTAGGATAATGGTGAATAAGAAACTAGTTCAATTTCTCTCATGTACAAGACTCAAGTATTATCACCAAAGCGAATGTAAATTTTATAACTACCAGTAGAGTATATACAGTTAGATCATTATATTACAAAGCAAATCTTGTACCTACTTAAGAACACCAAAGGCAAAGAATTTAGCAGAGCACACCTTTA